CGGAAAAACCAAACAAGTCAACAAATACACCAGGCAACACTCCAATTCTGGTCATTCAGCTCTTTTTGTCAGTGGGTCACGTGATTCGAGCGAAGCAGATGACTGTGAGGCACACATGCAGTCTGATTCTGTGCACCTGACAGCAGAGGAAAGGCTTCATCATTTAAGAGGGGGTACGTGCATGTATTGTGGCAGTGCTGGTCATATTCTGTGTGACTGTCAGGCCCATTCGCACAGACCCAAGCACCGACCCTTGGACATGTGGTGAGTATTCCCACAAAGGGGTTGGTCTCAAAGTCTTCTTTCATACTTGTAATTCTTTACTGCCAGCAAGTTTCTTTTGTCATTTCAGTCCTGATTGACTCTGATGCTGATAAAAACTTCATTCACGCCTGACTTCTTGAGGAGCTACAGATTCCCACAGAGCCGTTGAAGACACCACTGAGGATAGCGTCCTTAGATGGGGATCCTGGGGGAGCTGGAAACATCACTTTTACAGTAAAGGTAACGCTACTAAACGTCCATATGATTGTACCATCAACCTTCATGATAATACAGTTCTTCCGAAATCTAGAATCTATCCTTTAACTTGAGAGGAAGAACATACCATAGACACATACTCATGTGGCTTCAGGTTTCTTTTTCGTTAAGATGGGGGTCTCTGTCCATGTATTTATTAACGAGGGCTAAACCAAGTTACTAAGAAGTATCCCTATCCTCTTCCCCTGATTCCTGTAGAGCTAGAACAATTGGGTAGAGCACAATATTTCACTAAACTTGATTTGAGAATCAAGACAATGCACACAATTTAGTTCGAATTAGAGAAAGAGATAAATGGAAAAGTGCATTTGCGACAACAAGGAGGCACTACGAGTATCTAGTAATGCCATTCGGTTTCTCGAATGCTCCATCTGTTTTCCAGGCATTTATCAATGATGTGCTAAGAGATAAGTTTGTCATTGCCTATATAGATGACATTCTCATTTACTCCCCTGATTTTGTTTCACATATTAAACAGGTTCGCTTAGTCCTTAAAAGGTTACTAGAGAACAATCTATACGTCAAAGGTGAGAAGTGTGAATTTTATCTTCAGTCCGTAGCCTTCCTAGGGTATGTCATCAGTTTTAATGGCATGGTCATTGACAACCATAAGGTTGAGGCAGTGATAAACTGACCCACACATTCCTTATTAAAAGATCTGCAGAGATGTTTGGGATTTGCTAATTTTTACTGACATTTCATTAGAAACTTCAGTTCCATAGCTGCACTTCTCACTGCTCTTCTGAAACTAAGAAACTCAGTTGGTCTCAATCGGCAGAAAATTCATTTACCATCTTCAGAGAGGCATTCACTATGGTGCCCATTCTTAAATAATCTGAACCCTCAGAACCATTCGTAGCAGAGGTTGACACTTCTGAGACAGGTATCGGAGCTCTTCTTTCACAGTATTCTGGTAATCCTGGTAAATTACGCCCAGTCACTTTTTATTCTCACAAATTACACAAACCGAGAGAAACTATGATATTGGAGATTGTGAACTGCTGGTTGTCAAACTTGCATGAGACTGCTAATCACCCCTTTATAGTTCTAACTGATCATAAGAACTTAGAATATCTCTGTACTGTAAAATGCCTAATCCCTTGACAAGCTCACTGATCCTTGTTCTTTTCAAGATTTAAATTTAGTATAACTGTCCGCCCCTGTTCTGGTAATATCAAGGCCAATGCTCTATCTAGTGTTTATGAAACTAATGAAGAGTAGAAATATTCTTCCTTCCACTGTAACTGTTTTCTCTATTCACTAGGAAATTGATAACGTGACAGGAAAAGTTCTTTAACTGTACCTACTCAGTGTCCTCCTGGAAAAATATATGTCCTTGCTCAGTTTTGTGACCGGTTAGTTACTTGGGCTCACTCCTCTTTAACCAGTGGTCACCCAGGATAAACTTGCACCAAAAAACTACTCACAAACCGCTAGTGGTGGGAATCTATGCATAGTGATATTCATAAGTTTGTAGTTTGTATCTTGTTTTGTTTGTTCTCAACATTAAATGCCTAAAACTTTGCCAGCTGGTAAACTTATTCCTCTGCTCGTTCCTGTTAGACCCTGGTCACACTTGGCGATTTACTTTGTTACTGACCTGCACATATCACAAGGTTTCACTTCCATCTTCACTACTGTAGATAGATTTTCATGGTGTGTTTGTTTAATTTCTTTTCCTTCTATACCCTCAGCATTCCAAACTGCAGAAACTTTAGGTAACCAGGTTTATAGATACTTTGGTATGCCGGATGACATTCTTTCAGATAGGGGTCCTCAATTCACTTCTCAGGTTTGGTTAGCTTTTTGACACATTGGGGTATCTGTTAGCCTTACTTCAGGGTATCACTCCCAATCTAACAGACAATGTGGATGTGTAAATCAAGAACTTGGAAATTTCTTGATAATATTTTGCCATAACAATCCCAAGGACTGGTCAAAATTTTTCATGTGGGCAGAGGTGGTGCAAAATTCTTTAATTAGTTCTTCTACTGGGTTACTCCTTATCAGTGTGTGTTAGATTTCCAGCCTCCTGTTGCACCCTGGACTGGCGCTGCTTTGAATGTCCCAGTGGAGGATAAATGGATGCAGCAGAGCAAGAGGGTCTGGGTGGAGACCCATCAGAGAATTGAAACTGCTCTACAAAGACACAAGTATCAGGCAGATTGTCATCATGGAGAGATCCCTGATTATCAGCCAGGGGACCGGGTTTGGTTGCCTGGATTTATCTTTGTTATCCTTTTTATATTGTTGGCTCATTTTGGTTTTGACCTTCAACTGTTTTTCGACCTCGATTGTGGATTTTGGATAAACTAGTAAAGCTTCTTTTTCACATTTTAACCACAAGCACTTGATTAAGTCTGACTTGTTACATCAGCTGTGATCAGCAAAACAGTTTCATTATATTTAGCATAATATTGTTACATTCACTTGAAATTCATGTGACCTTATTTAAAATAAGTTTATCGTGCATGGACTTCAGGCAGACTCACTGTGTAAATCTGTACACTTAACTGACATACGGAGAAAAAATAACCATGTATTGCCCCTGCTTGACCTTTTTGATTGAAAAATATGAATTTCTATATAGGTATGTGTGCTGTGACCATTTTTTCCAGGCCCCAACCACAGCAAGTTTACAGATTTTTCCACTCAAAAAAAGTTCATGCCATGCCAGTTTCCATTGCTTAATAGACCTCAGAAACAGTACCCTTGTACTGGCAGACCGGGCTGGTGGTCTATATTTTTAAAAAGGGGACCAGAGTGTGTGTCAATTACTAGGGTATCACACTGCCCTGCCTCCCTGGGCAAGTTTATGCCAAGGTGCAGCTGAGCGTGAAACGCTTGGTATGCAGATCAGCACCTCAGAGTCTCTCCTGGAAAAGGATGGCATGCCCCCTCCAGGTAATGAGAAAGGTCCTGCCCCAGGTGGAGGAGTTTAAGTGTCTTGGGATCTTGTTCATGAGTGATGGGAAAAAGGCTGGGACAGACAACAGCAATAATGCGGTCACTGTACTGGACTATAGTGGTAAAGAGGGAGCTGAGCGAAAAAAAAAAACAAAAGAATGAGATCACAGATACAAGCAGAGGAAATGAGCTTTCTTCGCAGGGTGGTGGGACGCATCCTACTTGACAGGGTGAGGAGCTCAGTCATCCAGGAGGAACTCAAAGTACAACCACTACTTCTCTACATTGAGAGAAGCCAGCTGAGTTGGTTCAGGAATTTGATTAGGATGCACCCTGGCCACCTCCTGTGAGAGGTTTATCAGGCATGGCCAACTAGGATGAGACCCTGAGGTCATCCTAGGACCCACTAGAGGGATTATATCTCCAAGTTGGCCTAGGAAAGGATCAGCATCCCCAAGCATGAGCTGTAGGAAGTTACAAGAGACAGGGCCGTCTGGGCTTCTCTGTTTTAACTATTGCAACAGTGACCCTAGTTGGATCAAGCGGTTTAAGATAATGATTCTGATAGTTATAAAGTCCAAATATGGAAAACTGAACTTATACCTCCAGTATATCATTATAACACTAGCACAGGTTGGCTAACTGACTTTCAAGCAGTTACTCTCTTTAGAATGCTAATTCTTAGTGGCTCATGTTAACATACTCTATTTATATAAGTTAGCCAAGTAGTTTTCTAATGTTGGCTAGTTTGCAGTTAGCGCATGAAGTAGGGGCAAGCATGTTAGCTCATGGTTAATATATTAGCTCATCTTTAGTGTGTTAGGTGGGGCTAGCATGTTAGCTCGCAGAAAGAATGTTAGCTCATGTTTAGAACGTCTTGTAGGGGCTAGCGCATTAGATAATGGTTAGTGCGTTAGCTCACGTTCAGTGGGTTTGGTAGGAGCTAGTGCATTAGCTCACATCCATTTATAGCAGTTGTATCCAGGACCTCATTTGGAAAGAGCTCTTACACATTTTATTTTGACTATTTTCGCAAGCCTGGCAGGAACTCCTCTGCAACTAATCTTTGTAACCTTTGAACCTAATCTGTATGAAATCTAATAATATTGTATTTCATTTGGTGAATGCCTGCCACCCCATAGACAAAGTTCTCAAGCTGCAACAAAGTTATGCTGTGCCTTTAAGACGCAGTTATTTCATTTGAATGTTCATGTGCTGTTGCTGAACACACTACCCTCTGTTTTTCATCTTTGTCAATCTTAACAGTAGCATTGCTTCATACTGGGTTTCATTCATGTTTAAAAGAACCTTCAGTGGCCATGATACCTGACTTGATTTGGTCTCTGTAGGAAATAAATGAGCCATTCGGAGTGTCCACACCAGTGCCCGTGTTGCTGAACATGTGCTCTTTGCTAACTTCACTCATCACGGCCACCTCTAAGCACCTCTTTCCTGGTGAGACGTTTATCATGAAAAACCTGCAAAACAGTGGGAGTGGCCTAATGATGTTACTTAAGGGCTCAGGTGAAACGAAAGTAAAATCAGTTTCATAACCAGAACTTTCAGCACGACACATTCTCCAGTTTGAAGCTTCCCCTGTCTTTCTTAGAAGAGCTAAAACACTGCAGGTAAAGTCTAAAGAAGGAGGATTTAGAAAATATGGAAGTGGTAATGTCTAAGCTTTCTTATTTGCATTGTTACAGCTGAAAAAGCTTCCTGTTGTTCATTTTATTTTTACTTCTAACTGCTAGTGGTTTCTGTAACTTTTATCAAAATGTTCAGAAAGCTCTAAGGACTATCACCTGTAACATTCACCTTACGTTTAACAAGTGCAAGCTGTTTATATGTGTAGATATCAGCTTCTTAGGTGAATGTATTCACTGGAATGAAGAGGTTGAAGAGCAGGTGAAACAGGAAGCTTCTGAAGTTGATCAACCTGTCAGATGCTATTGTTTATAACATGCCCCAGACTTTTTTCCCCAATGGCATTCTGTATGTTTACGAAAGGTCAGATATAATGTTGGTTTGTAAAGCATTTTTTGTGGTAGAAACTTCACTCTTATGATATTGCTATTTTTTTCCATCAGTCATGGCTTTCTCCAGCAGTTTCCTGTCTGAAGATCAGCTCCAGTGCTCTATCTGTCTTGGTGTGTTCACTGACCCAGTCTCGACTCCATGTGGACACAACTTCTGCATGATCTGTCTCAAAGAGTTCTGGGACAGCAGTCCACACTGCCAGTGTCCAGTTTGTAAGGAGGAGTTCTCCAAAAGGCCTGAACTACGTGTGAACACATTCATCTCTGGACTGGCTGCTCAGTTCAGGAAGTCAGATCAGGTGAAGTCCAGCAGAGCTCCAGAAACACCTGGCACATCTCTGGTGCTATGTAACATCTGCAGTGAAAGGAAATGTGCAGCCCTGAAGTCCTGTGTGACCTGTATGACCTCTTACTGCAAGGTTCATCTGGAACCTCATCACAGAGTTTCTTTATTAAAGAAACACAAACTGATGGACCCTGTGGAGAACCTGGAGGACTACATCTGCCAGAAACACGAGAGACCCCTGGAGCTGTTTTGTAGAGATGACCAGACGTGTGTGTGTCAGTTGTGCAGTGAGACAGACCACAAGACTCACAACACTGTTCCTGTAGAGGAGGAGAGTGGAGAGAAGAAGGTGAGGGACATTTAGACGATGAATTATTAACTGTCGTTATTTTTCATCATAATAATGTCCTCAAATTTGTGACTGACGCTGTTATAACGTGTCTAATTTCTACAGACACAGCTGGAGAAGAAACAGGCTGAAGTTCAGCAGATGATCGAGGACCGACTGAAGAAGATTGAGGAAATCAAACACTCTGTAGAGCTCAACAAAGTGAGTCTGTTTCTTGACCGTGACTTATTTTGCAGTTATTACTGTCTTTTCCCAGTAATATGTAAAATTCTAGCCTTTGGATAATCAACATGTTTACAATATTTAAAATTCCATATAATCTACAAGGAAATCTAGAAGGAGAGGCTGGATTCTGAGCGTGTTTGTAAAAAAATGGAGTCATAAAATATTTTGAACCCCAAAAAAGGGCCATAAATAGCCTGTAGGGGTTTTAGATTATGGGTCTATCCATGGCAACTGACCTGGCACCTGTCCAGTCACACCATGGATTTTTATGAAAAAAATTGAGCAAAAACATCAATTTAACTGATGAAACCATGTAAAAAATTAGATTTTTAATTATGAGTTATTAAAGTTTGCTCTATTAGATTCTAAATTGCATCGTACATTTTAAACTCAACTGGTTACAAACAGACTGAACTGACAGATGGGCAGATCTGAGTTGCTTGTGTGGAATGAGCCTTTTTTTTATTGTATCATTGCATATAATGGTTAACTTACTATATAAAGAATTATTGTTTATGTTCTAAACGTAAACTAATTAGGATAATAAGTGTAAGAGCAATAATTTACAACTATTATAATAACTGCTTAAATAAGCTGTGAATGTTCTAGTCACTGAGGCTGCTGTTAAATGAAGAAAGTTAGAAGGGGGTGGAGTTCGAGAGAGAGAGTGTGTAGAGAAGCAACCAGGAGTTGTTATGGTTTCTTTCTGACCTGCAACAATGAGTAGCCGAAGCAGTTGTGTTTTCTACATTAAAAGTGGTTCCACCGAACTCTAATGCCGAGTCATTCCCTCTTCTGTTTCCTCGTCCTCGCTACCTATTGCCAACCGAACTAAACCACAGCCTTGAGTCTCGGTAAGACCACGACGAAACGAAACTTACGTTTCACGTTGGTGGCAGCGGTGACCAGCGATAACTGCATTGAACATTTTTGAGTGTGTTTTTTGGTGGAAAGTTGGACTGTAGAGCTATTAGGTGGACTCTCAAACTTTTTTTCACGTCTGCTTAACTTTTACGCTACAAGCTGCTTTTATTTTGTTTGTTTTCTGCATTGTGAAATGGCGAACGAAGATGTACAGCCTGCTCATTTGCCACTGCGCACAGCAGGTTCTGCTGCCGCAGGGCATTCACAGCTCCCGTTTCAGATTGAACTTCCCGCTCCGGCTAGGGACTAGAGCCATTTAGTTCATGGATGCAGCGTTTTGAAGTTGCTCTTGATGTTTCCACTGCACGGTTAGAAAAAGCAAAGCTGCTAGCTGCTAGACTCAGTGGCCCTGCGTTTGCATACTGGAAAAGTTTACCCCCCGAGTGAAAACAGACTATGACCAAGCTAAAGCTCATTAGAGCGCTGTTTTTGGGCGAACCTCCTTTTTGGCTACTTTGCAAACACATTTAAATGCCTGCTCTTGCAGACACTAGGGACCCCAGGTTGCTGACTTCCAGTGGGGGCTGCGAGACTGTACTCACCCTGTGCTCCTGCCATGTCCTGCAAATACCCATGGCTGCCCATTTGGACATCCAGAGCAAGATAGCCTTCATCATGGCAGCTGCGTCGACTGCTGCATCACCTCTTCACATGCTTCCACCAGAGGGTGTTGACTTCTTCGTGATGACTTCTCACCACCTCGGCATCAATCTCCATCATCTGGGTGGACTGGCCATCCTGCTGATCAGAGTTACACCTTTGATGACAACAGCTCTGCCCAACTTTGAAGACCGCGCCACCCTCTTCCTTGTCATTATGACACACATCGCCAGCATTCAGAGCACTGGGAGGACTTCTCTCCTCCCAGGCATCGCCATGACAGGTACTCTACTCATTCCCCTTCCCAGGAACGTCACTCACACCCAGTTCATCACCCCTCTCATACAGCCCATACTTCTAAGCCCTATACTGCCCGGTCTCCATCCCCTACTCCACAATATGCGCGAGCGAGACACTCCTCAACCCCTTCCCCACCCTCAACCCCACATGATTGGCCTCCTCGCCCTTCTCACTCTTCCCCTTCACGCCATGTCCATTTTTCCACACCACATGATACTGTAGCCCCTTCTTCCTCCCAGCGTCGGGGAAACTACTAGAAGCTGGCATTGCGGGCCCCTCCTCAATCTGTTTCCTGCTCCTTTATAAGAATTACTCTCTCAGCCTCTGAACAGTATGCCTTGGTAGACACTAGTTCCGGTTTCTCCCTCATCACTGAGGAGTGTTGTAAAGCTATCTTTGCCCTGGCCTCTCAACCCATTAGTAAGTCTTTTGCCCTGGCTCAGTGACGGGACATTTATTGGATATGCATATTGTGCATATTGGTGATGTTACCTTATCCCATATATTTCACTTCGTGCGCACCTCCAGCCACCCTGTGATTTTAGGATGGGACTTTTACACAACACAGCGCCACCCTGTCGGTACCTCATGCACATTTACAGACACATGACACTGTTGTGCATTTCTTCTCCCCTCAACACCTTGTTCTACTACAGTGTGCAGCTATTGCTGCCTCTCCCATTACTGTTCCCCCTCTATCTGAAATGGTGATTGCTGTCTCCATTAACAGTGGCAATACCAAGGTGGCATGTGCTGAATCTTACGTAGGCATTGTTGAACCACATCCCCCTTCAACTTCTGCATTGGCTTTTGCTAGGACACTAACGACAGTTCATGATGGACAAGAGCTAGTTAGGGTAGTTAACCCCTCCCCAGAACCAGTCTCCCTTGCAAGTGGATGCCCATTAGGCCAGGTGTTTTTCCTTTCAGGCCACACACAAGAGAAATGTACACTGGTCTCAGTCATTGCCACGTCCAGCACCTCCGATTGCCCCACTCCAGCGGTAGATCTATCTCATACGTGTCTGACTTGAGTGAAATACCTCAACTTGAGAACCTTTTGAAAGATTTTGTTGATGTTTTCGGTTCCCACCCCTATGACTATGGCCATACTGATCTTACCCATCATTCCATTGATATAGGTAATGCTAAACCCATTAAGTTGCGGCCATACCGCACATCTCCAGCCACACAGGTCTTGTTACGGCAGGAAGTAGACAAGCTCTTAGAGCATGGTATCATAGAACAATCACAAAGTCCTCGGTCAGCTCCAGTGGTGCTGGTCCGGAAAAAAGATGGCACCCACCGATTTTGCGTGGATTACTGCCAACTTAATGCGGTTACAATTAAGGACTCACATCCACTCCCTCATGTGGATGACACTTTAGATAGGCTAGCTGGTGCCTGTGTATTCAGCACCGTTGATCTCACTGCTGGATATTGGCAGATCCCACTTCACCCTCGAGACAAAGAAAAAACAGCATTCTCAACTGGCACTGGGCTCTTCCATATTTGCTTAATTTATGCATATTTGCATAACCTTTTTTCCCTGACCCCCACAGCTTAGCTGTTCGAGGCCCACTGCCCACTCCTACAGCCCCTCCCACCTATTTGATCTGTCCCTTGTGGCATGACCCACCTGTAGCTCCTGAGTCAGCCCATCTCCTTGCGGTCCCGCCAAACCTGCTCCCACCCTCTGAGCACAGGGAAGTCTCACAACCACCTTTCCCCAGCCCCTTGCCACACACCTCTCCGGCACCAACAAACACCGCCCCCCAAGACCCTGCTCCCCCAGGCCCTTCTCCTACCCCTCAGGACCCATCTCCCGGCCTATCCCTTGCCCCCCTGGGATCAGCTCGCCACCAGCGTCGAGTGCCTGTGCACTTTTCATATATATTGATTGAACTTGCTTATTGGTTCCTTTAATTGTTTGGGACTCTTTTTGTTCTGATCTAATTTAGATGTTGGCCTCATCATGGCCTTTATCCCCCCTTACCTGTTGTTTTTAGTTATACTTCTGCAACACATTTTCTTTTTTTTTTTTTGATTCTTTTTGGCTAAAGATAGAAATGAAGACATTTCTTTTTGGGTGAGGGAGTATATGTAATAATTTACAACTATTAGAATAACTGTTAGTTTGAATAAGCTGTGAATGTTCTAGTCACTGAGGCTGCTGTTAAATGAAGAAAATTATCAGTGTGACATATGAGAGAGAGAGAGTGTGTGTAGAGAAGCAGCCAAGAGTTATGGTTTCTTTCTGACCTGCAGCAACGAGTAGTCGAAGCAGTTGTGTTTTCTACATTAAAAGTGGCTCCACTGAACTGTAATGCTGAGTGCTTCCCTCTTCTTTTTTCCTCGTCCTCGCTACCTATCGCCGACCGAACTAAACCACAGCCTTGAGCCTCGGTAAGACCGCAATGAAACGAAACTTTAAACTGAAGTTTTACATAAGTTTAAGAGGGTGGTGATTATTTGTCTAGTGAATGCAGACACACCAATAGGTCAACAAAAAGGTCAGGAAATAACTATCTGTGCTTTTACTCCATCTTCATTGCTTTTAGATCCATTATTGGAACAATAAACCTCTCAAACTACACAGTGAAACTTCACCTTCTGGAAGCTGATGCAGAAATACAGTGAACAGCCACAGAATTTGATTTGTCTCCTTTCAGAGAAACACAGAGAAGGAGAAAGCAGACAGTGTGGAGGTCTTCAGAGCTCTGCTGCACTGCATTGAGAGAAGCCAGGCGGAGCTGCTTGAGCTGATGGAGGAGAAGCAGAAAGCAGCAGAGAGGCAGGCTGAAGAGTTCATTAAAGAGCTGGAGCAGGAAATCACTGAGCTAAAGAGGAGAGACACTGAGCTGGAGCAGCTCTCACGCACTGAGGACCACCTCCACCTCCTACAGGTCAGAGTCCCTCTGTTTCTCAATAGTAATGCAGTCCAGCACAGGACAGCACTGCCCATGCTGAGGGATTTCTCCTCTCTCCTGCTGGACTGTAGGTTTACCCGTCCCTCTGCAGCCGTCCACTCACCAAGAACTGGACTGACGTCAGTATTAAGACTCATGTGAGTGTGGAGACTCTGAGGAGAGCTCTGTCTTATCTTCAGCGGTTACTCAGTGAGGAGATGGAGAAGCTTCCTGACATCAGTAAGTGTTACTGAGCAGTAAGAGCTTCTGAGGAGTTTTATTGTAGGACAGGATTTCAGGAACTCATCAAGTTCCTGATGGTAGAAATGCATGTTTGGTACATTTCAATATTTACTTTTGGATTATTCTATTTAAATTTACTTATGTAAATTAGTAACTTATGAAAAAACACAACTGATGAACAGTTATTTTGGTCTAAAGTAGGGTAAAATATTCTGGTGGACTGAGCCCAATTTATTCAAACTGAACAGGATGCTGTGCTGTTTTAATGTGATGAGCGGAGCAGGACAGCAGAGGAAACAGCGTGCTTCTTAAAAATACAACATTCTTGATTAAGTCTTATCAGTGAGCAGCTAAATGACTATTTCTGCATACAAAAGGTGTTTAAGATACTTAAATCTGCTTTCTACTAGATCATGTGATAAACTCAGTGAGATGTTTTTATTTTTATGCTCTTTTTATGCTTTATGCTCAGTTCAGTCTGAGTAAGTTTCCTATGACTTCAAACAGCTCACTAGATTTAACTCTCCTTAATTATTAGAAATAAATACAGTTGAGAGCTGCTAACTAGATAGCAAACCAGAGCAGTAGGAGACTTATTAGAACTGGACTGGACGATTAAACCTGACATTGTCACCTTAAATGAGAGCTCTGGAACAGAATTACTGTTTTCCTCCAAGGGCTTTACAGTTATCAAAGATTTTAATTGAATTTTATCGAACATTCTTTACAGCACTACAGTTTATTCTGTCATTTTGTGTGAATGTTACACCTTACTCTTCTTTGTGTCAAAGTTATAGCACTCTATTGTGCATTATATTAACCAGAAAATTGATTAAGTAAAACTTAAAATGATAAATTGTCCATTTTTCTTTTTCAAACAGAAATGAAGAGAATTCAACAATATGCAGGTTTGTAGATTCTTATTGATCACATAACTAAATATATGTATCTTCTCTATTTCATGCTGTTTGTTGTTAACTGGGTTTAAATTGTGTGTGTTTCTCTCAGTAAATGTAACTCTGGATCCTGAAACAGTTCATCCTAAACTCATCCTCTCTGATGATGGGAAACAAGTAACACATGGAGACACTCAACAGAGTCTCCCTGATAATCCAGAGAGGTTTGATGTATGTCCCTGTGTTCTGGGAAAGGAGGGGTTCTCTTCGGGGAGATTTTACTATGAGGTGCAGGTCAGAGGGAAGACTGACTGGGATTTAGGAGTGGCCAGAGAGTCCTTCAACAGGAAGGGGCTGATTAAAGCCAGTCCTGAGAAAGGATACTGGTCTGTGTGGCTGAGGAATGAGACTGAATATAAAGCTCTGGACTCTCCCCGTGTTCCACTCTCCCTAAAACAGGCTCCCCAGAAGGTGGGGGTGTTTGTGAATTATGAGGAGGGTCTGGTCTCCTTCTACGATGTTGAGGCCAGATCTCATATCTACTCTTTCACTGGTCAGTTTTTGAATGAGAAGATCTATCCAGTGTTTAGCCCCTGTTTCAATGAAGGAGGTAAAAACTCAGCACCACTGATCATCACATCTGTTCAACATTATAGATGAGGTTCTTTTTCAACAACGAACTGTTTCTTTCTATCCAACTTTTCATACTGTAACTGTGTGTATTATTTTATACAATCGTATCTAAAAGTTTAAACACCCCCAATCAAATGACGTTTTGTTGAATTTCTAAAATATGAAATTTTTTTCTAAACGTTTTAAATTCAGTAAATAAACAACAAATGTGCCTTACAATGTAAATAAGTGTGTTATCTGTAAACACAATGTTATTTGATCAGGGCTGCCCAAACATTTGAATATGACTGTACATACAGTACTGTCCAGAAGTTTTAGACATTTGAGAAGATTAGATATAGAAAAGCGGTTTATTTGATCAATGAGTGTTCGTTTATTTTAATAAATCCATGTGATGTTGGAGGCGTCCAGGAGAAACCTGGAACTAAACTTTGTTCTTCAAACCAGCTCATATCATATCAACTACTCTATATAAAACTAAAAAAAAACGTATTTAATTAGTTTATTTACATTTATTCAAATGTTATATGATGATTTAACAAAAAGAACTCACTTATTGTCAAGATACAGTACTGTATAAAAAGTTAATTGCACAGTGAAGGAATGAACAATGTAACAGGTAAATGAATCAGTAAATAAATGAATCACCATCTTTGTAACAGTTTCTCTGTGTTAAAGACACTCTCCTCTAAATCAGGGGTGGGAACTGAGGGCTGGAGTTCAGCACAGTTTTGAGATCTTCCTGCTCTGGTACACCAAACCTGGTGATTGACTGATGAGATTATTCAGATGTGCTTCATCAGGAAAGTTACCAAACTGTGCAGGAATCCACTGTTAAAGTCCGCACAGCATCCTATTTACTATGAACCAGCCTTACACTATTACTGCAAGCATGTGTTTAAAAAAATAAGGATAAAAGAAAATTACAAACCTCTGAACATCCACTGACATCATCAGGGGTCATCTGGATGGACATTTATTAAGATTTCTTGTTTCACTTTCTGAAATACATTAAAAAAAACGATGGTATAAATTAAACAGACAGATGGTCACAGTAGTTTTTAATGCATTATAGAATAAGAAAGTATTAGATTAATATCTGTACTGGCTGATCTGATAACAGTTAATGCTCTGCTAGTCAGACAGAGCTGGATCTTTAAATAAACTTCATAAAACTATATGCTGTGCTTATTTTATGATAAAACTTTACCTTTGTAAAGTGTGTTTTAGGAGCATGTGTTACTGTTGTGATGTCCTTCAATGAGGTACTCTTAAAAATATATATGTTAATTTTGTTTTGACACAGTGCTTCATCAAATTATGCTTACAATGAACTGTGCTTTTTTATGTTTAAACTATACTTTCAGAAAAAGAGTACTTATTTCTGGGTTAAATGTATGCTTCAATGAAGTCTACTTTAAAAAGATCATTTTGTGTTGAAAATGTGCTTACAATAAACCGTGCCTTTTTCATGCTTAAACTTTAGTAGTAAAAACAATATATATTATTTATTTGCTAAACCTATAATTCAGTGAAGTGTGCTTGAACCAATGCTCACAATGAAATATACTGTATCAGCAGTGTGATATTAGTGGTGGCTGGCCATATGGAATGTGTAAATATAAAATACAAGTACACTTCAAAACTGCTTAAAATGATCTTCCTTGTGCTAATTTAATGTTAATTTTATGACAATTTTTACATCAAATGTAGATCTAACAGTGGAAAATCACCACATCAGTAGGATGTCAGAGTACTTACAGCAAAGAGAATTCCCCTATAGCATGCTGTTATTCATGATAATATATTTTATACTACCTGAAAAATTACATCATTTTCTTTGTGAAAAGTATACTTACTTTAAATAGTACTTAAATAGTTATATACTGAAATTATGTTATTTTGGTACCACTGATTTGTACTAAATCACTACTAATGTGTACTTCATAAATATGTGTTATTTTTGCCACTCTTTTGATACAATTGATGTATACTAGTCTACGCTGCCAAACTGAACTGTGAAGATACATTAAGTGTTCTAAAAGTATTCTTGTAGTATTACCCATTTGCTCCTCAATCACATAATTAGTATGTCAATTTATATAGTCCCAGTATATAATTAGTATATTTACAAATACTGTACAATCATGTATTTTCGCAGAACTGTTTTCGTGCTTAGTTGTACTACAGTGTACTCAAATACATGTTTAACATAACAACTTGGCATACTGTAATATACTCTTCCTCTTAATAAATGCACATTAATGACTATGTTAATAATTTGATTGGATTAACTTAGTGGTTCCTGATCCAACTCATCACAATAATAATCTCTATATTCTTTGAGAATTTTCAATGCATTTGAGGTGCCTTCACATGTGTCACTCATCAAAATCAGCAGCTCCTATTAATGAAAGAATAATCGTGAGTGATGCCAACATTGCTAAGTGTAAGTAAACTCTACACAGTATTGTCAGTGAACTGCCTGTGCTGCAGTGCGTGGTAATCTCTTGATCTAACGCTGCTCTTAAAATGGAGTACAGCTTAATGTAACTATGTACTCACTCTATATTTAGCGGTTTTACATTTCGATAAAACTCTAAACTTGCTGTGCTGTGATTTGTATCATTCGTATCATCTAATGGCTGAAAAAAGACCATTAGAACCATTAGGATTGAAACCTGATGTCCATTAGAACCATTAGGATTGAAACCTTATGTCCATTAGAACCATTGGTTTCTAATGGACATCAGGTATGGGAAATGGCTTGCTGGTTACCATTAGAGACCAATAGTTTCCCAGAGAACACCCTTAGTATGGGGGACCAAATTTGCCAAAATGAAAAATAAATAAAATTAAAAATAGATGGCTTAGTAAATTAATATATGAATTAGAATTGCAAAGAATAAATGATGATAAATCCTCACATACCTCCTGTGGAAGCCATTGAAAGTTATTTATCGGCAGATTTATCTGTCCATGACATTGCAGGTCTTTACGGAGTACGGTTGATCAACTCTGCTCCTCCTGGTCTTGATTGCTAAGCCTGAACGTGAAAAACATGCCCCCTCATTATCATATGAACAAAGAAATACAGAGCTAGTGCTAGTTTAATTAATTAAGTAATTAATCGATTTTGAAAAATTAATAAACAAATACACGAATCAATAAATTAAGCGAACAATTGTTAAATATATTGATACTGGAAAAAATATAAATATGGCATTAATAAAACAAAATAAATAATACAGAAATAAATAAATTGAGAAATATGCAACTGCAGAAAAAAATGTGTATAATTACAAGCAAAATATGTAATATATACTTTATTTAGTTATTTTTATTTTTTGATTAATTTACTTAGCCATTTATTTTTAAATTTTATTTATTTTTCATTTTGGCTAATCTGGTCCTCCATACTTAGATCCTATTACAAAATTATCAAATGCATCTGGAATCAGAAAAGCTTTTAAACCATTAGAGTCCTTTACATTGTGATATCAGCCCATCAGGAAAACAAAGAATACCTTTAGTGGCTACTAACACAACCAGGAACCAGCAGAAATTTATAATGGTTTCTGTGATTTTTTTCAGCAGGAAAGCTTCCCAGATCAAAGTAAGCTAAGTTTGTTAGTCCGACTTCCTTAAACTAAGTACAGAGGTTAACAATAATAACAATACTGCTTTGCTTATGCCGAAAAATTCTGTGTTTCGTTATCCTCGGTCTATAGTAAATAAATACTTCAGTATAAATATTAAAAGAAAAAAACTAACTCCAATCCAGCAAAAGGAAAAAGGGAAATGAAACAAACTAATCAGTGTTGCCATTACTCCCTTCAGTGGTGCCCCACTGTCAGAGGTTTGATCCTGCCTTCAACTTACAACATTCTGAAGCTTTTCATTCCACTCCTTAGTTAGAAGTCATTTTAAGCCTTCCATGCTCCCTAATAACTTATTATTGGTTTTCTTTGCATTTACATGTCAGAGTCTCTACTACTGCTGTGCCATTAAGACCAGCCTCTACTACTTGGCTGGTGGCTTACCCTATAGCATTCTGGTTTCTTAAGTAGAGGACCGCCAGTTCGATCCTCACATGGGCTAAGCCCTGCTGTATTATAAATACATATATCATAGTCTGTTTTGTGCTAGTTCTGAATGGGGCTATAAATATATAATGTCTGAACGTACAATATTTTTACAAGACCAATATAATTAGCAGTCTTATTATATAATATCAAACATGACAAAACAGTGTGAACGTACAATAATACTTACCTGTCAAACATTCTGAATATACCTGTCCACGCTGGTGTATGTTTCATCTGGAAACTTTCAACACGCAGACATATACACACTGATCAACACACAAATGAATTTATAAGGCTAAAAAGAACACAGTGAACGAGTACTAGTTACAATAGTCATTAGTACTGAATGAATGAGCTGTACAGAATTGGACTCTTTTTCTTCAATGTAAAACTGAAGGCTAAGATTTCCCTTATTTTTTCACAGGTAAAGTGGATGCTGCAGCTGCAAGGTTAAGGGAGCTGGAGCAAAAAGTTATGGAGCTGGAGACTGAAATAAAGCAGTTTACTTTCCTTACAGATCAACCTAAGTTAATCTACTTCTGTTCAATTGATGAAGAATTCCACTTAACACGATTTGCCTCCAAGAAAGTCTTCAATGCTGTTCTAGGAATCTGTTGCACCATTGGCTTCAAAACTTATTTACTGGACCAAAGCATAGAGAGACACTTATGGAAATCCCAGCCCCAGCTGAAAACTATCCCTCATCAATGACCATTTCCCGTTTCTTTGCTGCATTGCTGCCAGACTCAAGGAACAGGCTTTGGCATCCATGTTCAAATTCAGTATCATAACATGGACCAGGTACTTTTACCTTGTCTTTGGCTCCCAACCTAGATGGCCCGACAGTACTTGCAAGTTACCATGCCTAAAAATTGCGGAAATTCTGCTCAGAGGTTCAGGTGCTCATTGACTGTGAGATCCACTGTAAGACACTTACCCTCCAGTCTGAAAGCTTCTCAC